CTTAGAAGGCTGTAATATGATATATAGCAGCAAGTCTGTAGCTCCAAAGAAGACAGCGATGCTGCAGGAACCTGCAGTATCCCACTAATCTTATTGAGGTGAAGACGATAATAGGTTTTTTGTTATCGACAGGGCACAATAATGTTTCTTGCACTGAATTGCATTGGTGATATAACATGAGAATGATGCCTGCAAAGACTGTTTTGCAACTTTTAACTCCAGCGAGTAAAAGAACAGCCATGACCACCGTCTTTGTCCATCGCTGGTTACAAGATGCTCCTAGAATTCATTTTAAAAATGTACCGCTAACTTTTATGAAAGTTTAAAGCCATCTCTGTGCTGTTAGAGCCTAAAGGTGCGTTCACAATTAACATGACCAATTTTCCGTGTGGTTCTCCTGGTGTTGGTTCCTTGACATTTCGCCCTTCTCATGATGTCATCAGTACACTTCTGTTCCAGTTGACCCAGATTTATTCTGCGTGATTCCGTTCTCCCAAAGTCCAGACTTCCCTGGGTTCTTGTCAAGAACAGACTTGGTGAGAACAAGAGTCCGTACTCGCGTTCTAGTGAATTGAGAAAAAACCTTTGTCTCCGTTGTGCTTCTTCATCCTACATCACAACCACAGTCCCAGATTGGTTAACGTGACACGAACTGACAGAAAAATTCCGACTTTCGAACTCCGCTGCATAGATTGTGGTTTTGCTCTGCTTTAACCACCCAATTTGCTCCATTTTCATCACTCAAACGAAGTCCTTTGCATCTCACACCATTGAATTTAAACGCACCCTTACCTAAATATAACATGTAAATCACTCTACTTGCCGCTTTCATATTGATTGTGAACACACCTTTACACAATGGCTCAAACCCTTGGGGGAGGTAAATAAAATACATTTTGTACCTAAGACCAATTTAAAAACCTGTGAAGACTATACTAACAGAGTTGAGGCTTTTATAAAGGAGCAGAAGACTTGGATGGTCTTAAGGTTTGGCATTCATTACTTTTCTGATACAATTTGTAAAAGATGAACTCTCACGGTTCTGGAAAGGGCTAATAACTGGAATCACTCTACAATGAAAACCATTCAGGGCAGACTCCCTCAGTATTGACTCCAACTATAGCTCTGAGAACTTTGCCGCTGTGCCCATTGCTTCTGACCTTAAAACCCTTTTCCCCCAACCTGTGTACTAGCCCCTCGGAGAGAGATCTGGAATCTGACTGTGGTCCCTAACAGTTACTATGCTAACGTCAACTGGAGTCACAACTTCCCCGCCGACATCAAGTTTGTTGTAGAGGTCACTCTGGACAGTAAGACACAAAGCCTGTGCTTAAGCTGTACAAACACCCAACATCCATCTGAGTTTCCTCAGTTCAGAGGGAACTCTTTATAGTGACGGCACACAGAGCTCTAAAATGGCCCAAACACTTTAGGGTCAAATTTAAACCCCCTTCATTACAAGGGTTTTGGTATTGATGCAGAAATTGCTGTGCATTATGATTTACAAATGTGTACCTTACCTTATTTCTGACTGTTTGGCACTAAATCTAACTAAAACTGGGGCTCTCCTTCCCCAAAAAAAAAACTAAATCGAAAAACACATTTAGGAACATTTATGAGTAGCAGTAAGAACTGCCTTTTAAATGCTATGGCTTGTAGATTGGATTTTAGCAACCACTGACTAATAATTCCGACTATTTATTCAGACAAATATCAATAAATAGGGATATCCCGATCTTGAGATCGGATCGGCCTGATGTTCTCCTAATTTCTGGTGATCGGAGCTCGGCTACATTAGCTGACGACTCGTCAGCTAATGTAGCCGAGCTCCATTATGGCAAGTAAACATTGGCGGTTGATGGTTGACGGTAGCTGTGAATACAAACCTCTGTGGCGGAAGTTTTGTAATATTTTACTCTCGCGAGTGAAGACTGTCCTAAAGCTACTTGCAGTGTGTGCAACATGGCAATTTCAAGAGGAGTTAGCGGCAGAGCTACATTTAACACCACAAACTTGATTCGTCATTTGAGTACAAAACAGGACAAAGTGCATGAAGCATTTTGTGAAGTTGCAGATGGAAAGGTTGCTAAAGCAAACCTTTACCCCTTCTATTCATTCTAGCTAATCTGAATCGTTCAATTACATCTGGAGAGCGAGATCATCTGTGGTAGCAGCACTAGACATCTGTCAGGCATGGGAGGAAAACTAGCAGCAGTTCAGCGGACAGGATGGATGATCGGTAGCCGGCGCGCGCGGATGATTATTATCTCAATTGGACTATTGTGTTCGCAAGATTTTAAATCTATATAAGTTTGAATTTTAAACACTGGGGACATTTTTTTGTTTTGCTAATCTTTTTGTGAAAGTAAACAAAATTGTTATTAGGTTTTATCGGGTTTTGTGCAAATGTACACATTTGTAAATCACACAAATGTTTTGCTGTAAGAATTTTTTGATATCAAAAGACAATGAAATAATTGGATTTATTGAGATTTGATTTATAAGAATGTGGGATGAGGGGATTATTTTCTATGCTGTTGAACCCGCCTCTATGCTGCTCCAAGTTCTCTGTGCCGTTTCTGTTCATGCTGCTGCCTGGTTAGGAATGAGCTGCTTTAGGCTTTACGTGAGCTGCTGTTTGAACATGCCGCTGTTCTGACCAACCATGTTGCATAGAAGTTTTGTTGTCTGGAATTTTTACCTTTCTGACACACATTTGTTCATTGAACGCAACGTTCGGACGTTAAACCACCATGCCAGTCACTTCTGATCCAACAAGTAGAAACACGATGAACATGGAGCAGCTCTGGTTAGATAATAGAAACAATAAATCACACTGACTACGCCCTGGCTTTCTTCCATGCTACTCTCCATTGTTTATGTTCCTGATTTCTGTCGCACTGGTGACATCAACGCTAACCAAGCATAATGATGTCACCAGACATGCAGCTGTGGGGGGGGGCTGCCAGAGAGGTGTTAGACCAGGATTATTTAGCCATTGGGAAGGGAGCCAAACACTGATGCGAGTCGATCCATGTTTGAAAAACACGTGTTAACCCGCTATTTTCAGTGGGAAAGAGGCTTATGTTTCATTCTCGTAAAAATCTTTTTACTCGTGATTTAAACTTATATTGTTTAAATGAGAAACAGACATAAATTTTAAATGATTTACATTATTGACTTTTTCACACATCCTCCCATACCTTTTTATTGATTTTACTCCATATTTACTAAATTATGACAAATTCGATTGATGCAGAAAAGTTTATGAAGACCTTTCCACTCACAGGAAAAATACATTTATCTTTGTTAAATTATTTCTGGAAACAAAAACTACAGAACAGTGATGTAATGGGCACCTCATAAACCAGGGGTCTGCAACCTGCGGCTCCAGAGCCACATATGGCTCTTTGGACCCTCTCCAGAGGCTCTTAATAGTGGCTAAAATGTATATAAAGAGCTAAATAATTTACTTTAATATATACCGGTATCAATAGCTTTAGTGTTTTTTATAAGATGGAAAAGAATGAGATTAAAAGAACCAGAAATATGTTTTAAGTAGGGATGCACAATATAATCGGCCCCCTATCGGTATCGGCCTTAAAACTGAATATCGGACGTCGGCCACCCCACCGATATTTGACCCGATATTCGATCAGCTTCTGAGTTTCTAAAGTCTAAAAAAAAAAATAATAATAAAATGCTACTTCTTCTTCTTCCTCAAAAACTTCTTTTTTACAGACTTAATAACTCCTACACTGCAAAAAACTAAATCTTGATAAGTCATTTTTTTCTTAAAATAAGTGCATTTGTTCTTGAATTGAGGAGATAAAAGAGACATCTTGCCAATGGAACAAGACAATTTAGATTTAAAATAAGAAAACACATTTGCATTCTCTTATTTCAAGTGAATATTATCTAATTACCTTATTTTAAGATTAAAAAAATAATCATTCCATTGGCAAACTGTCTCATTTACCTACTCAAATCAAGGGTAAATACACTTAATTTAAGAAAGTTTTACTTATTTCTAGATCATTTTTCCAGTGTAAAGACGAGGGAAAAATATTGATCCATTAAAATATCCCAATATCTTCATATGCTGATATATTGCCATTTAAAAACTCCAT